AAGGAAACCTAATTCCTCCCTCTATTATGGCCTTAGTATAGAAGGGCATGGCATCCTCGGCCCCGAGGGTAGAAGAGTGCACCACAGGGTCATAATCCTCTACGTCTACGCACGGGGGAATGCCGTACTTGACCTTAAACCTATCAATCTGCTCACCACCCTTTACTTTATATTTTCCCGACCCCGAAGGACCAGCCTGAGGATTCTCGGGAGCAGGGCGACGACGAGGCATCTCTAAAAAAGTAAGAAAGAAGAGGGTTTTTGTTCTTGAAAATCCCTGAGGAAGTTTCCCGAGGGTTAAATCGCTATGTATCAAACCGGAGACACCTCCAGTTATCGGAAAACAAAAGGATAGGAGGAAGAAAAGAAAGAGGATTCTGAAACTCACCCGAATGTAAAAACGAAGTTTTTTCTGGAAAACCTTAAAGCGACTCCTTCAAGAAAGTTCAGAAGCAACGATGGGTCTGCTGGCTTTAAGACTTTAAGGAAGAATGGGCAATCGACGATGGAAGAAGAAACAAATCTCCGGTGAAGATTCAAGAAGAGACTCTCTTGAGAAAGTTCGGAATGGCAAAACAAGGAAACCGGAAGAGGAGCCCCTTTATATAGAGGCAATTTTCATCATTGGGTGCGAAAAATGAAACGGCGCATTTAATGCGCACGACATCCCAAGCCGGGGAAAGCGGCTCGAGGCAATGATGAAGCACTGGTGGTTGTTGGAAAACCCTTCGTCTCCTTACGACGCGTGTCCTCGGTGTCAGAAGATCGAAGGCTGGGGGCAGTTGATGGGACTTTTCTGAGATACTCCATGATGAAGACACGTGTCCTCGGTATTACCAAAACACTGTTGATAAGATCAAGCACCATCGGCGCGCAAAGGTCCTCGCCCCCGAGGTACTCGTCATATAAGATCATGCATTCAGTATGTTTTACAACCAACACGTGGCCTCGGTCTGATATGTACCTCGGTCGGCATACCTCCCTCGGTCCCCGAGATGAGCCTTTCCTCGGTGTCGAGAGGTACCCCGTCCTGGACGCTTCCTCTACTCCAGGATAAGCTATTGACGTACAGGTCATTAGCCTAGGCTAGTCTAGGCTATTCATCATGACCTCGTCTTACACAATTAGTGTCAGAACATACTGGAATGCAGGGGTCACAGCCATTAAGAGATGGACGCGTGGCAAATGATATCACATCGAAACAGAGAAAACGCATGTCGTTGCTGACACGCGACTTGGGAAAGCAAATAATTAATTGCACCATTCCCTTGATGAGACCGCAGTCAATCAATGCGGTAAGGCTCGGAAATGAAAGGCAATAAATGCTCCTATTACAGAGCATTTATTGCATCCTCCCCGAGAGGAGCACATTGTACCGTCGGCATCCCGATGACAAAGCATTGATTGCTCGGGACCCCGAGCATTTAATAAGAGAAAACATTCTTCATCAGAATCAGTGTGCACACTGCCTGTACCTAATGATCACCTACTGACTACACTGACAGCAATCATGAGCTTTTGAGGTATAAATACTCCTTGTAAAAGGCAAGACGGGTATGCAACAATAAACTCTTTACTACAATACACACTCAGTGTTTTCTCCTTCCTCTCTCTTTCTCAAAGACTGACTAGATCGTCGGAGGGGATACGCCGGAAAACACTCCGGCGCCCTTCTAACTTGTTCTTCTTTGTTTCAGAAACCTCTTTCAGCCTTACTGGATCGTTCTTCCGTTCCCAGGGTCTCCCATTGCCGTTCCAGGTTACCATCGGACCTCGCAGGCTGTTCCAAGCAGCGTGTTTGGTCACTCAACCGGCTCACTCGAGTTCACCAAGAGAAAGATCTGTTCTCGTTTTTTATATTGTACAGGATCTTGCACGCACATTAACTATTAAATGAAAGGAGGGCAGAGATTCCTATTCTTTTGTTTGAGCGTGATACAGTTGCTTGTAAATGGCTTTTGCTTGGAAGATATTCTACAAAAGAATAGATTGATTATTCTCCTTTATTTGATAGGGAATACAATTTGATTGGATAGATCGATCATTTTTTTTTGAGGTCGGACAAGAGAGTTTCTTTTCTTCAAGTATATAAAGTATATCAATCGTATTTTTCATCTATTCTTCTACCAAGTACATCATAAAGTAATAAGAGCCGATAAATTTTTATTTTTGTAAATCTTCTTGAGACAATGGAATTCAAAAACCCACCTTTAAATTTAAGGTGACTCTAATTTATTATCGAATGAAGTTTGTATTGTTATGCGATTGTGATAGGATTCCGCCACGTTATTTGTTTCATGTATTTTTAACACTTAACATTGATTGTGGTTAAATAAGATATACAAAGATTAAATTTAGAATCTACTATCCTCAACAAAAAAATGGTAGCTAGTAAGTGGTATGTAAGCCCAAAATCAAACAAATAGCAGCTAAGTGACGTAATGGGAAACACTAAGGTCAATATTCATTCATAATTTGGCTGATAATGGTGGGTGATGAGATTTTTTACCCCTAATGCGGCGGCGTTGTATAATTTGGGATTTTTTATCGACTTTGAATATTGAGTGATTAAATTTGTGTCGATTATTCATTCGAATTCAAATATTGACTATCGATCATAATCTGAACAAATTTAAGACATGTCATCTGATAAATATTAAAAATTGACCTCTAAAATTATAAAAAAATATTAAATAAGAGACTTTCGAGTTACTAAAAATTATGTTCGCACACTAAACACCCCCTCAAAATTAATACTTAAGTATATAGTAATATTCAAATCACCTGGACCACTTAAAACAAATATCTAGGTTTTCAACCACCACTTTATGGCGAGCTGTAGATTAAAGCGATTGTTATAGTCTCCATTCTCCTTCCATGACTTTCTGAATTTTTTTTTTGAAAAAACGAAAAGTCTGTGGAAGGGGTATTTTCTAAGACATGACGTCACACTGCTTTACATCACTAATACACCTCAGGGAGGCTATCATTTAAGTTAGAAACTTTTTCTATGACTCCTGATAATGTTTTTAACAGGATCGAACAATAATGAGAATGTAAAGTGCAATGAATAGTTTAATCTAATTCAGTTTAAAAAATATGATAGATCACTATATTGATCGATCAAATTGTTGCTGATTAGAAATATAGGGGACATCTGATAGATCAAATATGTTTAATGATCGTTTATTGAGTTACAGATGTAGAAGTTGAAAGGGCAAGTGAGTTTGTGATCAATCGAAAATAAATATGATAGATAAATTATTATGTATTTACTTAAATGCCTTCAAATAAGAATTAATTGCAGTGTTATAAGGGGGTTTTGCAGTAAATAAACATCGAATCATATTATTGCATATTTGTAAAAAAACTATTCAAGTTGTAAATATTACCATAAATCTGGTAAGCAATTCATTGCAGTTGTAATTATTCTCACAAATTTAATAAACAATTTACTGAAGTTGTAAATATTTCCATAAATAATCCATTGAAGTTGTAAATATTCTTATAAAAATGATAACTGATCCATTGAAGTTGTATATCTTCTTGAATTAGTTGTAAAATATTCATAAATTAAACACACATATGTGTGTATTGATCGATCGATCATATTTAATGATCGATCATGGACTATTAACTACTGTAAAAAATACCATTAAATTAATAAATATGCCCATAAATGTCTAAAAAAATCCATTGAAGTTATAAATAATTTCATAAATTTAGTAAACATATTACTAAGGTTATAAATATTCTCACAAATTTGGTAAATATACTATTGAAGTTATAAATATTCTCACTAATTTAGTAAATATATCACTGAAATTGTAAACATTCTCTTCATTATAGTAACAAAATTACTAATAATCATGATGTATTATTTGATATGTCATTTTAATGTCTTATCTTGTCTACTAATTGATAATAACCGATATCTAATAGGTAACCCATTGAAATTGTAAATAATTTCATAAATTTAATAAATATATCACTAAAATTGTAATTATTTTCACAAATTTAAAATTTTTGGTATGATATGAAAAATTTTATTGAATGTACCGTAGTCTACTCTCAAGCCCATTTTGTCAACACCTAAGTAGTGTTTGGTACTTGTCAGTTGTCACGGATGCCTTCATTTTTGTTTATTTAGATCTTTGGGTAAATTACATATACACCTCGAGAACTTTGTCACTAAAATAAATAGACCTCAGGTATAACATATTACACTGACACCCTTGTAAGTCATGGTCAGCTAACACACTTAACAGAATTTTTAGAAAGGCTATTTTACCCTTATTGAAAATAAATAAAACTAGCCTATACCAAAACTCATATATCATATCATAGTTAGACTCAACCCCCACCTAACCCAACCTGATATACTTCTCAGTCGCTAACCTAATGCCTAAGCCCACATCTCTTCTTCCTACTGTACTCCTCAACCTTCTCTCTCTATCTCTATCTCTCTATGGACGTGTTCTATTGCTAAATCGTCGCTACACCACCGTGGCCACCATCAAACCCACCACTACATTTAAGTCATCGTCTGCAGTGGACTCTAGTATGGAGGACACCTCACAAACCCTAACGCACCCACCAAACCACACCAACACCATCACCAACAAACACTGACGCAACCACCAAACCACACCATCACCAACAAACCCTAACGCAACCACCAAAGCTCATAATCGAGCTTTGATTCAATAGGTTAATCAAAATCACCAGTCCAGAATTCCTGATAATTTGGTGAAAAATGTCGCCTTGATTCGGGAGATTAATGGCAATGGTTCCAAGGTCATGGGTCTTTATTGGGATCTTTCAGTGAATTTCTCCATCGTAGTTCATTAGCGACACAAAATCAGGGGTTCCAAGGACAGCAGCAATAGTGACAGTAGCAACAAGGTGGACAGTGTGGAGTAGATTTTTGTGATTATTAGAGAATTGACTTATGGATTGATCAAATTCAGTAATTTTCAATCACTCTCTGTGTGCATTCCATGGCGGTGATGACAAATATTTAGCAAGGAGAGAGGGGGGGAAAATGAAGTGGTTTTTTTCCCTCTCTATGTCGCTCTCTACTTTTTGATCTAGGGAGTAAAGTTTAAGCCCACGAAGAAGGATAACCCAAAACCGAGGATGGTGGTGGTGGAACACCGTATGCGGCGAAGTGGGGTTTATTTCGGTTGCCATCGTATGGGGCTGAGGAGGTGGCATATGGGGCGACAATTGGGTCGTAGGGTGAATGGCATGAGGTGGTGGTGGGGCGGCGTTTGGTTGGCTTGGTGGTGGAGTGCCTTAAGGGGCGGAGAAGTAGGGTTGGGATGGTGGGGCACCGTAATCGTAGTCGTTGTAAACAAGTGAGTTGTAAGGGGGTAACCAGACATCTCTGGTGTCGGAGAAAGAGAGAGAAGCTTGGAAGGTTAGACCGTATATGCTATTGCCTGTGGATGTGAGAAAGAGAGAAGGGCAGTGTATAGAATTACGGGGGTTAGTACTAATTAATTTTATAAGGGTATTTTAGGAATTAAAATTTTAAAATATGGTGACATAATTAAATTTTGACAGTGTTTCGAACCATTTTTAATGGTAACATCTATGTGTTATATGCATACAAACTTTGAGAGTATCAGTGTAATATGTCATATCTAAGGGGGTCTATGTGTTTTAATGACAAAGTTGGGGGATTTAGATATAATTTATCCTAAATCTTTCGCACATTCATTCAGCACTATCTCTATATAACAATCTGCATTCTCTCTTCTCCATATAGTATATACCACCGACACTCGTTTACCACGACAGAGAGAGAGAGAGAGAGAGAGAGAGAGAGTAGAGAGAACAGCAATGGAAGAGGTGGTTGAAGTATTTGCAGAGCCACCAACATCAACAGCAATAGGACGAATTAACCACCACCACCCCCACCAAACCTCTGCTATTGCCAAAATCCAAAAACAGTACCTGCAAACGATCACAGTAGTCCCAGAGAGGCCAATGAACGGACACGATAACAACTCTACAATCGTACATGGGCAGAGGCAGAGCTACTCAGAAGGTGGTTCAGAACATGACAGTGAGGGAGAGGGAGAGCTTAACCCACAAGATGCTTGGCTTCCTATCACCGAGTCCAGAAAAGGCAATGCCTATACCTCAGCATTGCATCTACTTTGTTCTGGAATCGGAATTCAAGCCCTTTTACTTCCTGTTGCATTCGCCGCCCTCGGATGGTAAATTACCTAATTTTATTTATTCTTTCCGGTGCTACATACTCTCTACAGTCTAGAACGATCAGCACATATGCAATTGGGTCATATATACTCGTTTGCCTACACAAGTTTTTAGGTGGGAATGGAATTCTTTTCTACATTAGAATTTAGACTTAGACTTTCCTAGTCCTACGAATATATTTTTAAGGGCTATAGGCTGAGTACGGTCGATAAAATAACTTGTAGTGACGAAAATGGGGGGCCTAGTCAATCAATTGCAGTCTTGAGGAATCAGTCTCAAAGATTTTTTTCAAAAGACCACCAGCGGAACATTTGTTGACCCAAAAGTATTGTGACAAAGTTTTATTGAATAAAGCATTGGGTCATTCTAATAATATATAAAGTTGGCACTCCCCCAAAACCAACAACAAAAATTTATTTTTCCAGGTGATCCCAGTTTATGCATGAGCAGTAGTTTTGTTTCAATATCAAGACATACCTGGTTATTGATCAGAGAAGATTATGTTTTAGTAAAAAAAAAATATCTTTTAGTCAATATGAAGTAGCTTCCTTAGGACAAGATCCCTTAACTAAAATCCAAATCCACCTTTTTATTCAAATCTTTAGGTCAACATTTGTTGTTTGCACATTGCAGGTTTTGGGGTATCCTATGCTTGTTCATGGCATTTCTATGGCAGCTCTACACCATATGGCTTCTCATCCATCTTCACGAATCAGTCCCTGGAACGCGCCTCAGCAGATACCTCCACCTATCCATAGCAGCCTTTGGTTATTACAATCCTCCTTCATAAATCATTAGAATGAAATGACCCAATGCTTTATTCAATTTGTTCCTTTTTCTTTTTCTCTTGCATTTTCTCATACAGGAAAGACTCAACTTTGTTGTCCTTTTGGACCAAGTGCTGTGGTACATATATGGGTGGAAATGAATGATATAATGTCTCAATCATTTCAGGTCAAAAATTGGGGAAATTGCTTGGCATATTCCCGGTTATGTATTTATCAGGGGCCACATGTGTGATGCTGATAATCACCGGAGGAGGGACCATGGAACAATTCTATAAAATCATGTGTGGGAATGAGGCCACTTGCAGTGCCAAGGCATTAAGTGGTGCAGAGTGGTATTTGGTTTTCATATTTTTGGCCATATTTGTGGCTCTTTTCTGTCCAAACTTGAATTCTTTGGCTGGTATCTCACTCATCGGCGCAATCACTGCTGTTAGCTACTGCACAATAATATGGGTTCTCTCTATCTCCAAGAATAAACCTGACGGTGTATCTTATGAGCCTTCTAAGGTGGCAGTATCTGAAATGGATAGAATTCGGAGCATATTGAATGCGATTGGAATCATTGCTCTTGCTTTCAGAGGTCACAACGTTGTCCTTGAGATTCAGGTTAATGTTCCAAATATGAGATGCATCACTGCATACCAAAATTTTCATAAACTCTATGGGCTCATGTCACTTTCTGAACATTTGAAATGATTTTGGTGGCACGCTTTATTCAAAAATTCTTAAAGTGACTCCATATTAGCGCAACCAAAAGGTGCGCCACCCAATTCTGTCGGTTGGGCCAAACTTTCTACACTCAACTGAACTACCCAAAAAAATTTGTCCGTTCCATAGAATTTAAAATTGAAATGTACACTAAAGAGGACCAAGACAATAACTTTCTTTTGTCTATCAATAAATTTCCAAATTCTAGAAAACTGGATTATAACTTTGAGGCTCATACAGCCTATGACAATTGCAGTAATGGAGAGATGTCCATGTCTTCACTTGATAATTTATTGATGCAGGGGACTATGCCTTCAAGTGCAAAACACCCATGCCATGAGCCAATGTGGAGAGCAGTGACAATCTCATATCTACTCATCCCACTGTTTTTATTTCCCCTTGCAATAGGTGGATATTGGGCTTATGGCAACACGGTACTCAATTTTATTATCTCCCAAGATTAGTATTATAGTAAGTGGCCATTTGCAAAAGCTAACATGAATTGCCTTGGATGTCGATGTTGTGGCTTGACCCGTATCAGATAGCTGATGGAGGAATCTTGAGAGCATTTTCAAAGTTTCATGGACACAACACCCCGAGATTTGTGATAGGCATGATCTACCTAATAATACTGATCAACTGCTTATGCACTTTCCAAATTTTCGCCATGCCAGTCTTCGACAACTTGGAATTCAGGTACACCAGTAAGAAAAAGAAGAGGTGTCCGAGATGGTTACGCTCAGGTTTTCGAGTCTTCTTTGGAGGATTGACTTTCTTTATATCAGTGGCTCTGCCTTTCTTGGGAAGCCTGGCAGCTCTCCTTGGAGGGATCACACTACCTCTGACTTTTGCTTATCCATGTTTCATGTGGATCGCGATCAAGAAACCCCGCACAAATGGTACGATGTGGTGGCTTAACTTGGTGCTCGGTTGTTTAGGCATAGTGTTGAGTATTTTGTTAGTTGTTGCAGCAGTGTGGAGTTTAGTTAACAAAGGCTTAGATGCCAACTTCTTCAAGCCATAAAACTTGAAGTTAACGATCATGTAAGTTATTATCTTCTCCATCAAAAATTCACAAAGAAATTAAAGTCCTACAATTGAAAAGGAGAAGGCAATAAACTCCCTTTACCGTAGTCAAGTCCTTGTGTAATTAGGTCGTCTTGACTCCTTATATTGTGAAGGAAGTCATCACACATCCACCATTAATTGAAGACAATGGTGTTCAAACTTGGACCAACGCTTCAGAGATGAAAAAACATCCCACATCCACTGCCCAGTGAAAAAGATGTGGCTTAGCGTACAAGTCTAAATTTAGAATCAAGAACAAAGAAAAAGAAAAAAGTATCTAGTAAGTGGTATATAAGCCCTAAATCACAAATAATAGCTAGATATGGCCATCTCTGAATAAATCCAAAAATCTGAGTAGGTGAAAGTAGCTAGAGAGCTAGAGCTTAAAATTTTAAATTATTTTTAAATGCAATTTGTATATAAATCCAAAATCTAACAAATACTTATCAAAATCAAATGGAAGCAACAATAGAAATAACGTACAAGTTGTATGACATTAACACTGATTGTGAGATCGATCTCAAGTGAGTGATAAGAAGGGCAATAGAAAATGATATTAACACTGATTGTTCCCCACCCGAAAAGAAAAGACAAAGGGAGTGCAATACCAAGACTTTCTGGGGGTCACTTTTGAATCATAATTTAGCTGAGAATTGTAGCTGATGAAATGTTTTATCCCCATGTGTCGTTATATAATTTGAATGTAACGTCAACATTCCATTAATATTTAGTTATACAATTCAAGTCCAATCACATGATCCACTTAAACAAAAAGATTTGATCTATTATGAAGGAATGAATTCATTAATTATTTAATGGATTTTGTATTCTATTCAATTACTTGGTATTAAATTTATTATAAATAGTGTCAATGAATATATAGATTTATTATAAATAGTGTCAATGATATATATATATATATATATATATATATATATATATATATATTAATGAAGAATATTGAGCAATATATAAATGAATTTTATTGAAAGTTGTTAATTTAGGTGTATTTAAACCTAATTTAGATTGGTTGGTCTTGAAACTTTTAAAGACTTTAATTACGGTTAAAAAAAAAAAAAGCAAAAGGAAAGCAATAGGGCTTTGAATTAAATTTTGGTAATCAATGTGAGTAGTTATTACTTTTTTTAGGTGGATTTTTTTATATTAAATGTGTGAGTGTGTGTGTGTGTCGATTTTTCATATATATGATATATGTGTTGATGTTTTAGATTATAATTAAATGTTTTAAATTGTGAACTGTTCTACATGTGAATTTTGAAAAACTTGTGGAATAATTTTATATCATTGCTTTAGTGATGAAAGAGAAATTTTATATGTTTTGGGACTAAAATTATAGTTTTAGTGTGTGTGAAAATCATGTTTATGAGACGGGAACTGGGGTTACCAGGTCTAAGTGGTAACAAAAGACTGGGCTAGTTACCGAACTAGTGGTAACAAAAGCCTAAGCCAGTTATCAGGCTAGTGGTAACAAATATGATTTGACAAATGCATTTGGAACTGAATGTGTGTGAGCGTTTTGGATTATAAATGTCTTTTCATTTATAAAATTATTTGTTAAAATGAGTAGTGTATTGGATTATAAATGTTTTTTCATTTATAAAGTCATTTGTGATCATGAGATCATTTTGTTTAAATGATTATGCGAGAGAGATTGTGATACAATTTGTTGTACTTACGTATGTATCAAGTTTATTTTTGTATATAAACTGTGAGATTCATTTTCACATTTCATTAGAGGTGGTTGCTATTCACGGACCATTGTACTCGTTCAAACATTTAACATTTTTTAGTTGAGGATCAAGGGGAGGAATAAGTCCTCGGATGGACAAGAGATTAGAAGATTAGAAGAATTGAAGATTTATTTTATTGTACGTATTCGAGAATAAATGTCTTTTATAATTTTGAGACAAATGTTTAATTATTTTGGGAACAATATTGCTTATGTTTAGAATAGTGAATATTATGATTTAATTATTGTTTTACATGGATTTAGTAATGATATTGGTTGTGTTTAGTTTATTTTTCTGGTATTCATTAGGTCGATAGAATTGATCACTTTATTATTTGTCTTCCGCTGTATTTTGCATTTATTATGCACAAAGTTGGTTGGTTAAGGTCTCGGTAGCCGGTTCGTCGCTCACTTTATGTGATCCGGGGTGAAGGTGTGACAAGAGTGGTATCAGAGCACAGATTTATAAATTATTAGAGGATTAAGTTGAATTTGAATGGTTGTGTAAACTTTAATCGATTTTAGTTCGAGGGATACAAAATAATGTTAATAGTTAATAGAATGATTTGTGTAGTAACTAAGACTAGTTAATTTGCTTGATATTTTGTACAAATAAGAGATAGTTGCAAAAATGGATGGTAACGGTGTTGTAAGAAATATGATTGACACTAATGAAATTTTAGGGTCTATGCATTCTTCCTTGTCTCTTAGAGTAGTAGTGTGATTGGGTGTGGAACACAAAACACTTGAGTTTGATTTGACTGTGGTAACTCCTATGGGTGGTTTTGAATTAGGTGATTTCGTGTATCCAAGGTGTAATGTCTGTATTGGAGAACAGTAGTTACTAGTTTATTGAGTATTTTTAGACCTTAGTGATTTTGATATGATATTTATTATGGATTGATTAGTCACACAACATACGAAAGTTGGTTGTTTTGAAAAGAAAGTCATATGAATCTAGTTTTGAGGGGACAATAATTATTTAATCCACAATATTAAATCTACGAGTGCAATCTTGAAAAAAAGTAAAGATTTTTAGGGAAACATTGGTAGTATTATTGATACACAAAGCAAGAGAGTGTGTCTTGAATATATAACAGTAGAAAGAAAATTTTTGGATGTCTTTCAAGAGAAGTTGTCTATGCTACCATTTGAGGGAGATAAAATTTATATTTTTTTAGTAGCCCTGGGGTAATTATATTTATTACTCCGTATCGGATGATTCTTGCTAAACTAGAAGAATAAGAATTCAATTGAAAATATATTAGACTGGAGATTTATCCAACTTAACAATTTATTGTGGGGTGCTAATGTTGTGTTTGTAAAGAAAATGATTGAACTGTGAAATGGTACGTAGGTTACTACCAGCTGAATAAGACAACAACATGTAGTAAATATCTTTTATGTGGTATTGATGATTTATTTGATCAATTGTGAGACGTTAGATAATGTAGTAAGATTGATATTAAGCTGAGTTATTTTTATTTAAAAGAAAGAAATGATGATGTTCTGAAAATAGTATGTGCAACTGTGTTAATTATATTGTATTTTTTATGAAGTCATTGAGATTGACAAATGTTACATCTGTTTTGATTGATTGACTAAAATGAGTATCTCAACTTTACCTACATTCATATGTTACTATATTCATTGGTGTTACATCTGTGTATTCTTGTGGTAAAGAAGGAATTACCATACTCATGATTTTGGGTTAGATGTAATTGTTTTTGTTTTGAGGTTATGGAGAGATTGTTTATAAGGTAAGACATGTAAGATTTATTTTGATTTTCAAAAGTTGAAAGATTTATTTATTGAGAAAGAGTTTAATTTGAGAAAAATGAGATGGATGGAAAGATTAGGGATTATGATTATTCTATTATTATCATGTAGGCGAAGCTATTATAGTGGTCGATACACTAAGCAAGAAATTATTAAGAAGTTTATGTTGTATTCAATGTAGCCAAATGAGTAATTTGGTTGATTTGAGAACGATAGAGGTACATGTGATATTAACTAGTACAGATGTATTATTAGCTCAATTGCAAGTTAAACTCTTATTGCTAAATCGTATTAGTTAGCTACAAAAAAAAAAAAAAAAAAAGAGGGGACACATATGCAGAGTATTAGAAAAGATGTCTAACATAGTAGCAGGATATATTTTGTACTTTTTAGTGAGATTATGTTTATATTTTGGCATTTGTTATGGGCACTAAATGAGAATATGTCGAAGAGAGACATTATAGATACAACCTATAATTCTGTGCGTTCGGAAAGTACGAAATTATATTGATATTAAGAAACTATTATTGGTTGAGTTGAATGAAAAAAAAAATTATGGAATTGGTAGCCAATATGTAGTGCATTGATAGATAAAGACTTAGTATCAGTATCCTTTAGATTTACTATAACTAATTTCAAATTTTTGAGTAAAAATTAGAGTAAATTATTATGAATTTTCTATAATGACTTTCGGAATACAGATTAGGCATAAATCTATTTGGGTTATGGTGGATCAATTGACTAAGTCCGATTAGTTATCGTAATTAAATTTACATATTCACTTGAAGGTATGCTCAAAGTTAATTGATAAGAATGTATGATTGTGAGGAATACCTTTATCTAGTGTAATAGATAGAAGTCCAAAATTTACCTTCAGAGTTGACCTAATTTGTAACATGTTGTGGATAATACTTTAAAGCTTTGTATAATCTATGGTTCTCTAATTTATAGGCAGTCTGAGCATACTATTCATACCTTGGTGTTATGCTTCACGCTAGTGTACTAGAAATTCAAAGGAAAGTTTAGTCTAAAATATAAATGGACATACAAATTTATAGAGAGGATTGTAATTACAATTTTAAGGTGGGTTCTATTATCAAACATGTTTTGATTTCACAATACATTTTCTTTCAATATGACTAGGAATTGTATATAATTGATCCTTCTAATATATTGGTTGAGTTTGCCTATTGAGCTAAAGATAACTCTTGCTTATGTTGAGGAGCCAACAAATTTTGGGTAATAGAATCAATCTGTTGACCAATTGTTGTGAAAGAGTCACTCAATTGAAGAAGTTCTTTGGAAAAGTAAAGAAAACATGAAAAAAATTAATATCCCTAGTTATTCTTACAAGGTATATAAATTTTGAGTATGAAATTTTTTTAAGGGGGAGAGAATGTAATATTCCAAATTTAATATATATATATATATATATATATATATATATATATATATATATATATATATATATATATATATATAAATATATATAATATTAGTTTTTAGGTCAATTTG